GAGGGCCAAGGACTGCTACCGGTCTTTTTTTTCTCCATCTCGTCTCGAGCCCTTAAATCTTCAAAATCGGCACTGAAAGATGATCACAGAGAAACATAAAACCCCTGCAGATAGGTCTCGTTTTTACTCATTAATCTAAGACTACACCTTGAATTATGCGGTTTGGTTCTTTGTCCATTCATTTTGAGAGGCCACAAAGCACATTGACACATTGTTGGGATACTTACGGTGCTCCATTCACAAAAGGGAAAAAAGACTAAAGTAGAAGTAAATCATAGAAAATATAACAAAATAGGAAATCCATATTTTTATTCCCGAAATAGGAGTTAAGATGCATATACATTGTCACTCATGACCATAGTCCATATATATTACCAAATAATATTGTGAAATGTCTATATACAGTGCCATATTACTAAAGTGCAAACTCTTATTTTGAGGATAAAAAACATGGAGTTCTTATTTTGATATTTTATCTATGTTTTATTCCTATTTAGTACTCCGTATGTTTTATTCCTATTTAAGGTGATTTCTTTTCACAAAATTGATAGTCGATACCCGCTTAATCACCTAATAAATCATCTCACCCAAACTCGACCCCAACTCATCTTCCCACTCACGTCAATTGCGGTGTGCAAGTTTAGTTGATTTTGGAGTAAAAAATTTTGATCCGGAAGTATTAGTTTTAATCACATACGGAGTATATTTTATTTTTCAACATTTTTCTTAAATTGTGTTCAATTAAAATGAACTTTTGAGCAACTTATTTCTTTCCTAAATATGAAAAGATAGAAGTCTGAAGTTTAGTTTAGGATAATCAAAAAAAGAAAAATGTGAAGTTTATTTCCAAATTTAGTAATGATGGAACTATACTATACACATATGCATCATCATGTGAAGATATGAGAAGGAGAAGGACATACAATACCTCCTATACTTTCGTTTCAGACGGTAAATTGCAAGTTGTACCCCGTATTGGTTTGAAGCCCATCATTCTTTAACGCCGCTGCTATCAGAAGAAGGTCCTGATTGATTTGCGAAGGAGGAGGAGGATGACGATGATCCTCCCCCTTGCCGGAAGTAAGACCAGGCCAAAACAGCAGAACCGATTGTAAGGGAAGCAGCAACCGAACCCCAAATCCATCTCTGCCTTCTCTTCCTTTTTTGCCTATCACGTCTTGTTATCTCTGCATGGAAAGGCCAAATAGAGACATACATTGGTGTATGATTCAATTGAGGAATTCTATTTCCCTTCATAAACCAATATTTTGGTCTAAGTCAATCACAAGGTGGGAATGCATTTTAGACAGTGGCAGTTAAATGCCAAAATGGAAAGCGTAAAGTTTTTTTTTTGAAACAGAGGGAATATTATTTTCTTTTTTTTTATGGTAAATCCAAGCATTAGAAAATAACTTTTGATGGCATTTTCCACTATAGAAATATTTTCAGTGTTCACTCACCTACAGCTTCCTGATTTCTCTGGGACATCTCCCGATTTACTGTCTCATAGTAGTGCAGTTTGTCCCACAAGCGGGCAATTTCGAAGTTCTTAAGCTCAATCTGACCATCCATCACTTCCTCAGCCTCAGCTTTTGCCATTCCCCTCCCAATGGAATTCGACACATACCGAGCAACATTCAGTTCCTGGACCATACTTTTTACAGCATCGTCAAGCTGTTGATCCTCTTCTACAATGTCAGGGAGAGTCAATCCTATGGGAAGAAGCTGTTCCCCAATCCTCTGCCACTGCATTCGCGTGTGATTAAGAGCTTCCTCTGCTCGTTTATGCTTTTCAGTCTCCATCAATAATCTCAATTTGATCTCACGCAACTCAGTTTCGAGGTCACGACTAGCTGGCTGCAGTTCACCACCGTCAGGGGAAATTTCTGAAGAAAATGATGGAAGTAAAATGATTAAGCATCAATTTTATAGTTCTATTATAATAACACCACCACCACCACCAACAACAAGAACCTTAAGCATAGGATGAAGATGAATTAGATTAATAACTCAGTAGCTCAGAGTGAGTTTATCCTTCATGTTCATTTTCAATAAATGATGACACATGCACATAATCAGTTAAAATTATGCCAAGTAATTAAATAGGGAGAGGGTGGCAAGGGAAAGCCAGACAACATATACTGTACACATTAAATGTGGACACCCTAAACTCATTTTGATAAAAGATTCTAAATTATCGGAGGGAAGAATGGATTAAGTACCTTCATATGCATCATAAAATTCTGCTGCTTGTGTGCTATAACTCAAACAACACTCCAGTCCACCATTAACATTCTCAGTGTCAGCATTGCCTTCTATGCTCATCGAACCTTGGGGACCAATCAAATTGTCAGCCTCGATATTTTGTTGTAATCCGTTATCCATAGATTTCCCCGTACCATTTACCGGAGCTGATATATCATCCAAATCCAGGTAACTATTCTCTCCAGCACCTGTGCTACTCATATGATCCTCTTTACCATGGGTATTAGCAGCAACTGAAAAATTATCATCATTCGCCGAATTCTCTTCTTTAGGAATGGAAATATCATCCGCGTGTGCAGTTAGAGCACACTTTTTGACACCAGTTGTGCATTGGCGAATGGCAACATCATCATGGGACAAACTTTTCAGAAGCCGCGGGCCACGGCGCTTGTGATTGATGATGTAAGGCGACGGAGGATATGAAGATGGAGAATCTGGGAGCGGAGTAGACTTTGGAAGGGCATAGAGTGCAGGAGATGTAGCGGCCCAGTGGCGCTTTCTACTAATCCCCCTTTCCATCCTAGAACTGGGAGCACGATTTCTCTTATCGACACTCCTTAAATGTGCACTATTGATTCTCTCTCCCTTTGGGGGAGGAGCACTTTTAGTTCTAATCATGGATTTTGGGTTCCCTGAATCTAACAGCCTATCCAATGCTACTGCTGAAAACATTGGCATGGCTATACAAGTTCAAGCAATCTGCTCGAGCAGAAAGAAGAAATTTTAATAAACATTGGCATGACAACATAATCTTATCTCCGAATTCCGTAACATTCATCAATCAAAATTTGTAATCGAATTGCCAATTTTTAAAAACAAGAGAACCAAATCAGTTCAGTAATATAACTCAATGCCACAAAAACCTAAATCCCTGTGCTAAAACAATCCATTAATGGATTCAGCAAAGCAAAATTAAATCCAATTCAACAACTAACAAGGAATCAAAATGGAAGGAGAGCGTAAGAACTAACCTGCGCGGGGAAAGAGACGGAGATATTACGAGGAACGAATCCAGATTTACATAAACACGAAACACCTCATCGATCCGCTCCTGGCTCCTTCTCCGGTCCCGTTCTTCAGGAGAAGACGGAGAAGAAGGCGGCGAGAGCTGCTGCGAATCTCTCCGGTTGTCGTCGATGCGCTCATCTCGCTCCCACGAGGCGGATTTGCTTTTGTATTGGATGGAATCACTCCATCGTCACGCCATCCTTACCATTCCGCCGTAACGGTTTTCTTTCAACGTCTTTCGAAGGAACGGCCCGCCTATGATTGGGCCAGAAATTCAACTTTGCCTACGAATCAAAGCAAAGAATGAGATTTCAAATGATTATCCAAAAAATCATTCTAAATAAGAATAAAACATGAAGAAATTACTAAAATTAGAGTTTCATATTTTTATTCTCTAAATAGAAGTTTGTACTGTGATAATATGGCACTGTACAAGTATATTTTACGTAATATACATGGTCATGATTGGTAATGTAAATACATTTTAAGTCTTATTTTGGGATTAAAAACTTGGAACTCCTATTTTGATATATTTTAAATGTTTCACTCATACTTTAATCTTTTTCTCTAGATTTTATCTCAAATTATTCTGTTTTTAAAATCATCTGATTCTTACAATTAATTACCGAGTATATTTATTTTATAATTTTTTAAATATTACTCGTATTTTATTCTTATTTATGTGGAATTTTACTCGTAGTCTCTTAAATTATTTAATTGCTTATCCCAAAATTATCTTTCTATTAGTTTTTTCTTGGTCAAAAGTTTCTAACTTTGACCGTAAAATAGGGAAAAATCATATTCAACTATGATATAGTGTTAATATCAATAGATTCATTTTAAATAAAGTTTAAAATATCATATTTTTATAGTATAAAAATTATATATAAATAAAAATATTAATAGTCAAAGTAGTAAGTGGGAGACCGTGAAAAAATAAATCGGAAGAAACTATGGGACAAAGGGAGTAGTTTATACATACGGAATTGTAAATAGTATATAGAGAATTCAATTTCCGATTACTATGGTTAAAAATCACATGTAAACAATACACTTGGACACTTGGTAAGTAAAAAAGCATAAATTACTAGTCCCTCATACTTTTTAAATTTTATTAATTTATTTTTCAAAATACTTTTTTTAATAAATATTTTAAGCACGAAGATATAATTTGACAATGGTATGCATAGCACCATTCTTTTTTAATCATAAAACCATACCCGATTCGTAAGCCCGGAGTTCGTGATGGTTGCACTACGTACCATGGAACGAATCTTTCTTATGGTCACAAATCGAATTAGATCGACAATAATCGTATTTTGCTATTTCCTCAACTTAGGCAATAATCACAACAAGAATAGAGAACAACGTCATAGGAAAACCAAAAGATGACAATACCAATGGACAGTGTTAAAAAGTACTCTTATAATTATAAAACAGCAATGATCTTTTAAAGGTCAAATTAACCCGGGTCAAAAGAACCGTGGTGATTTAAGAAAAATATTGGTAAAAAAACATTACGTGGTAAAAATTTGTCTAGTCACATATTCAATTCTTTAAAAATTAAATAAAGTAGAATTCTTTCATCAAAGAGAGATGGTAGAAAGGTTTTTGCAACACAGAATATAGTGTTGGCATATTCTCATGGTGTTCAAAGCAAAGCCATACCAGACATCAAATGATGGGTACATTGAAATCTAACCCAGATGTATAAACGAGTTGGACTCAATATACCCATTATAGCCAAAATCATCAAGGGCTAAAAGGGGAATTAGCTTCAAAAACAAACTGAGCAAAATGGAAAAGAAAAATTGTTGTGCAGGATTTTTATTTTCTAAGCTTACACACACTCAAACCCAAGTTTCTGCCTTCTGGTTAATCAAATAGTCGTAAATGTTATGCAAACTTTGACGAGCCACGAGATTATTTGGCATGAAAACAAATGGCAACTTTTCTGCCAATCCGCTTGGCGTAAGAAACCAGTGATACAACAAAACAAGACAAATCCACAAAGCCACTCAAACCTGAGAAACAGCCTTTGGTGTTGTCGTGGTTGCCGCCTTGTCTGGTAGAATGTTATCAGGCAGGATAAGCTCTGGGGGTGTCTCACGAACAACGCCCAACATGGAATCATACTCTTCGTCCTTACGGGCAAACTTCTTCCGGAGTACCTTCTCAAACTCAATCTCGTCGAAACTCTTTGCGTTTTCAGCGGCGTGGACCTGCGCTAGATTGGTGTAGTTGAGGGCAGACTGGGAAATGAATGATATTTCTTCTTCGGTGAGCTTTCTTAGGAACTTCGCTGGGTTTCCACCCCATACCTGTGTTTGGTGGCAATCCACACATACAAGAGCAATTCAAACCAATCATTTATACAAACGTATGAATAAAACTAACAAAAGCTGATTTCTTTTGAGAGCCCTACTGCATAAGTTACACCATTCTACTCCAAAGTGGTTCCTTCCCCCATAACCACCCCGCATACCCTCCCATCCAACCCCTGCCGCCGCCCACCCCCTATATAGACACAATAGGGGAGCTGAGGGTAGAAACTACTCCGGGGTTGAATGGGACACCATAGGGCCCTCAAATAGCATGGGTGTTATATGACAGCCATGAGTGGTGTTAAAAGAATTGTGGTCTTCAAAAACTCCCGTTATGAGTTAAGTTTGAAGAATATACGAATCTAGGAGCTAGCTAATTTTTTTAACGAGACTTGGTTCTAATACAAGGGAAAACAACGTATTCACTCTCTTTCATAAGAGGCTTGGTTCTCATAAAAGTGGAAACAACTTTAATACTCTCTTTGGCATTATCAATCTCTTTTGTTAACCCAATAGACCAATCAATTATCAGCCTCTCTTTGGCATTAGCTCTAGTGTTTTGAAAATGCTCCACAATGGTAGCTTTTAAGCTAGCATTTTCGAAGTTAATTTGTCCCATTAAAAAATTATCCAAAAGAAACTTGACATTATTCACAAACCTTTAACCTTAAGCCCAAACAAAGCCTTAGCCTTTGGCTGGTTCAAAAGGAGGGAAAGAGAAAAATAGAAGACTTTGAAAAGATGGAGTGAGGAGGGATTATTATTTAGAATATGTACAAAATGTTATATTTGATATCAAAATCCTTGTAAATAAAGATATACAGAGTACTTCATAATCATCTACTCCCTCCATTCCAAAATAAATTTCATGCTTTCTTTTTTTTGGTTTCAAAGTTGGAAGTACGATCCTATCGAACCCTTTACAGTTCTCCTTTATCTTATTATGAATGAAATAAGTGGCTCACAATCTTTCCCTCTCCTTAAATTAAAAAATTTCAACTGCCCACTTTTAAATTTTTAACACTTTTCTCAAACCTCATGAGTCAAACACTGATGTTTATTTTGGGACGGAGGGAGTATATGTATAATGCCAATAATAGTAATAGTATATATGATAATAATGCTCTATAATAATAATACTCCGTAACAAACTAGTGCAAATTTGTTTTAGAAGTAAAAAGGAAAAAAATTACGGAGTAGAACTCATCTTAAATACCCCAATGTCCCCAAATGATGAGACTTTTAGACTTTTCATTTTCTATATAAAAAACTATGGCGTCATATAAGTCCGAAGAGTTTATGTTTTATCATTAGGAGAGTACCAACCTCTCCACATGGAATCCGAGTATTCTGTCTCACAAGGGCACCAGCAGCAACCATGGCATTCTTCTCAACAATAACCCCATCAAGCAATATTGCACCCATACCAATAAATGCCTCATCTTCAACAGTACAGCCATGCAGGACAGCACTATGACCTTTTTTTACAGTTCAGTTTAAAAGTTATTATTCCTCAGTGTTGGCCATAGAATCCTAAAAATGCAATGGGAATTATGTTTATTGGACTTATCACTTACCAACAGTAACATTGTTGCCAATAATTGTTGGCAAAACCTTTCCAGCTAGATTTGATTTGGCAACATGAACAAGAGAATTGTCCTGGATATTCGTTCCTGTCCCAATGCTTATATTGTTCACATCACCTGCGACAAAACAAATAAAGATAAGAGAAATAGTGAAATGAAAACGTTCAATGAAAGATAAAACTAGATGCAACTCATGCAGGTATGGGCACATGTCAGATACACCTTGAGAGCTTGACATAATCATGGGGTACTTCCTCTCCCCCTCCCCTCCCCTCCCCTCCCCGAAAAAGGTACATAATTCAACCAAAGAAACTTGTTTTCATTCAATTTCCTACAATATTCCCAAAATGTGTTCCAAACAAGTTATGTTAAGTTTATTAGGGAGTATTAAATTGATATAATCGATGGCTTTTGCAGAGTTAAAATTTATCTCTAATTTTGAAGACTAGATGAGATTCATATAGAGTTCATACCATTTTAAAGATTTTCAAAGACTCGACCAAAGTGTTTTGAAATCTTTAAGAAAATGGAAAGATTTTCATGAATCGTTTTTCTCTATAATTATACTAAATGTAATTACGAAATAAAGTCAATGACTTGTTGAACGCACCCTAACAGCCTAGCTTTTGTGTATTCTTTAAAAGTTAATGTTGGATAAACTAAAACTCTAAAAGACATTTAAAAGTTGTTAAAATACTACAACGAATACACAGACATTTAAAAGTTGTTAAAAGTCCATGTTTCAAGAGCAGCAGTGAGATAGCAAGGCCAACGCTCTTGTAGCTATGGAAAAAAAGCATCATGTGTTTCAAAGGATGAAGATAGGGGGATCTGCCGGCCATCTACATTTAACACCAATAAACTTCATTCAGATCTTCCCCCGACCCTACTCTCGTGTGATCCAACTGGATTGTTGTTGTTCTTGTTGTAAATTTCATTCAGATGAACGAAATGCAGAAGAGGTTGTTGACCAATGATATTCCAACAATTTAAGAATTTATGAATCATACCTCGTAGAACACATCCATACCAGATAGAGGAATTGCGCCCAACTATAACATCCCCAATGACAGAAGCACTTGGAGCCACAAATGCATCTTTATGAACGGTCGGAGCTTTGTCGAACAAGTTCATAAGCGTTCTGTGCCTAGACACTGTATAGAGGAAACAGACGGATTCAACAACCAAATCTTCTAAACAGCTCAAATTTCATATCACTGAAGCACTCCAATTCATTTCAGCTTTCTGTATTCTAATCTAATATCGTCATTTGCATTCAACAGTCAATAAAATGCAACAAAAAGTTATCAAACGAACGACATTAGAGCAGAAAATACATAACACGAGAGCACATTGTACATAAGATAGCTAACATCCAGTGCTCGGCGCCGTCAATGAAGCAAATAAACCCTAATTTTTCGAATTTCTAGAAGATTCACGAAATCATACACCGATTCACTTTAACACATTAAACTATCACAAAAAAAAAAGATTTCAGGTCGAGAATGGCGTGCCTTGCTCCTGGAAGTAGTAGTTCCCCTGGAGGCGGCAGCCGAGGCGATCGAGGGCTTGACCAGTCTCGCGGATCCAGAACCCGACGGAGTAAATTGCTCTCCCAAGAGTACCCATCTTCTCCGGCTACCTCCTCTGGTAACCGGGGGCTTCAGGAATTTTGGGGAAGAGGAGAGTGCGGAGACCACAGAAAGGTAGCGAGAGAGAGAGAGAGAAAATGAGGTGAGCTGAACTGGACGAGTGCAGAGTGAACTCGCTCGACCGGCTCACTCTTTTCACTTCTCCATTTCCGATTTTTCTTTGTTTATTTTTTTCTTTTTTAGTTTTTACGGTGCTTGTTGATTTTTTTCATACGGCGTGTAATGAAATTTGTTGGTGTAAATATAATATAACCGGTTGTACCATATTTCTTGTACATTTGTGATAGGTATTCATTTGTAAGTAATTGAAGACTTGTTTTCAAGTAACTAAATATTCATTTTTGGAGCAATGGAATACTCATTTTTAAGTTCATTTTTCTAAGATTCAGTTCTACTCGTAAATGAGTATTCAGATACTAAAAAATGAGTATCAATTACTTGAGAACGAGTAGTCAAGCGAATTTACGTAAAATATCATATATCCAGATTTAAGGTATAAGTACTCAGGGAATGAAAAGAATGAACCAAATTTGGTCACTAACTCTCACCTGTTAGATAAGAACAAATCAGTAAGTGAAAAACACATAAAATATAAGTAACATTTAAGTCCGGTCCCTTCGACTTATTCTTGCTACTTATTGTTTGTTCTTATCAAACCTAAATCAGTTCAGATAAGATTCATTCAGATCATTTCATTTAAATCAAATCATATCCATTCTCATCAAAAAATTGTTTAAAAAATAAAAATATTTAAAGAATAATAATTAAAATAATAAAAATTATTATTATTATCATTATTAATTAATAACCAATAATAATAAAAATGTTAATAATTATTAATAGTAATTAGTAATAATAATACTAATTAAATCCAAAGCAATAATCATGATCATAATAATTATTTCTAACGAATAATAATTAAGAATAATGATAATAACAATTCATAATGATACTTAATTGTAAATGTAATAATAATAATTGATAATTTCCATCACTAATAAATATAATAATTAAAACAATACGAAGTAATAATTAATAATTACAATAATTTTCAATAATAATAAAAATTATAATCTTAATATTATTAATAAAAATTTAAAAATGATAATACTATTAATAAATTGTAATTTTAATATTATTAATAATAATTACTAAAATAAATTTCATGATTTTTATTAATATAATAGTAAATTATAATTAATAATGATAATCATCAGCATTAATCAAAAATGTTGATAATAAAAATGATGATAATTACAATAATAAATAGAATTATTAAAATACTAACAATAACAATAATAATTACTAATTACCATTATAATTATTAATAATAAAAATTATTATTATAATACTATTAATAATAATTAATAAAAATAATTATTACAAATTATTATTATCATACATTATGATTAATACTGATAATCATCATCAATAATCATAAAACTAAATATTAGTAACAATAATTATAACTAATTATAATAATATTGATAAATATAATTATTAAACTCATAATGGTAATAATAATAATATTAATAATTAAAATAATAATTATTAAAAATAAAAATTATTATTGTATTATATTAATAATAATTATTAATAATAAATATAATAATAATAATTTATATTTGAATTAATTTCATTCAGATCAGATCAGATTCATTCAAAGGCATATTAGATTAGCCTTAAAAAATTAGTTCAAATTAAATCAACCGAAGAGAACAGAGCCTTAGTCCTCTCTCCCTCTACAACACATTTTTTTATAGGGTGGAGAAGTCACATGTAGACATTGCCTATTGACTAATGATGAAACAAAATAACAATCATTATACAATATAGATGTGAACAAGGTACTCGTATGATTCCATTACCAGAACTGGCAGTAGCACAGTCTGGGTCAGATTCTCAATATCAATTTTGGTATTTTTTTTGTTGAACTCTTCGTTGGATTGTCCTTCAGTTGATTGGACAATGATTTCATCAATGTTAAGGTCGACGCTTAACATCCCCGAGGGTTGATTATTCAAACCACTCGCTACTGAAGAAGACTCAAAATCTTTCTTTTTGTACGAGTGCACTCCAAAGAATCTATATCAACCGATTTGCATGCGGCATAAGTCATCTTTAAATACGGAGTATAAAATAATACTCCGTATAGAGTAATATTAATAAAAAATATTACTAATAATCTAATATAAAGTATAAAATATGGCAAAATATTTTATTTTATAAGATATGGGTAATAAAAAATTATTTCATTTCAATGTCTGAATTTCAATTTTAAAATTTAAATTTTTAAGTTTCAAATGACAAGAGTTGATATACAAATTTTTAGTTGAGTTTTTTTCTCTAAATTAAAATTATTTTTGAGATGAAGGGAGTATTGGGGTAGACCATTAACTTAACTGACTATCTATATGGAAATGGCATCGGCGCACAACTCAACCTCGTCTCCGCCAGATTCAAGCGCCGCGGTGGTTATCGGCGGCACTTTTGACCGCTTGCACGACGGGCACCGCCTCTTTATCAAGGTTCATCCATTACTCTACCATCCCTCGTTTGCTTATTTCTTTCCTCCTTGTATAAATCGATCAATTCTATTTTGATTTTTCCAACCAAATGATCGTTTGCTTTTATTTTTTCTTCAATTGAATGTCTTCTATCTTTTTTTTTGAAAGCGTCTTCTTTTTCTTCAAACGTGAACAACTGTACTCTAAACAAATATTAATCAGATTGGATGTGCCATTACCAAATCCGTATCCGTTATTAGATATCGAATTCGGATACTGATCTTGACGGATACTAAAAATCAAAACCGCATCCGCATCCGACTGATATTGGCCAGATATCAAATATATCAGTATCTGTTTCCAATTTTTAAAATCAAATTGAACAATATTTTGATTTTCAATTGAATTAAAGTCATAATATTATTAAATCAATTGTATTTTGTTATAGGATAAATATTTTCTTATTTTTTATAATTTATGATATTCTACGATAACTGCATATGATAAAAAGAAATACAAAATTCATATACACACATATTTTTATATGTCTACAAATTTTAATTTTTTTTTTTGTGTCTACACATACATTTTGCATATAAAAATGTTTTATACTTTGCGATATCAATAGAGAAACAGAATATAAAAATAAAAAATTATGAAAAACTATATATAATGGATCTGATACACGGATAAACGGTTACTTAACGGATGTCAATGCGGAGCAGATTATAAACGGATTAGATGGATGATTACCAAATCTGTATCTGTTTACCAATCAGATACGGATAATAACCGCTTTTAACATATGCGGATATTTTACATATAAACGGATTTGGATGCGGACTTATTTTTGGTTATCCATTTACAGCCCTATGGCCCAGATGGTTAAGCATGTAAATTTATTTTCTTTTCAAGTTATCGTATTTTATTTTCCTAGTCAATTTAAAGTTGTTTAACTAGACTTCTTTTAAATTTTGTTATCGGTCCTTGTTTTTCTTCATATATATGGAGTAAGACACAAGGGTTTGAGGTGGGTTGTTTTCACGGAAAAGTATTCTTTATTTTTTTGTCCCATGACTTTTAGGTCATTTTCACTTTTGTTTTTTTACAGGATGAATGCTTAGGATCAAAAGTGGCCAGAGATTCAGTTATGCACCATAAGTGAGATAACCTACTTAGTCACAGGATCAAAAGTCAAATATTTTCAATTTTCATAGCTTGTTAGTCATAGTTGTACCTCTCACTCTCTCAGGCTCTCACCTTTCCAAGAGAAAGGTGAGCTACAAGGACTCTTAGTTAAGCCCTTTCTTTTTTAGTGCTATATACGCAAAGTCAAATCAATTTTATGAACTTTTATTACATTTCCAAATTAAATACAAATTGAATCATATTTTCTCAATCTCTTTTCTTAATAGCATATGTGTAACCATTTCTATGTATGTTTCAAATTTGTGGGATCCTCAAGAGGCCTCATATGATATTTTTTTTCATGACGAGGCATATAAACTGTGATTGTTTGAACATCAGCAGAGTGGGAGATCCTTCGGTGGAGGCAGAGTCTTTTGATCTGAACCTGGTCCGTCTTCCACTACAAATGCTGTTTTCAACCCCCAACCTGTGTGCAGCTCCAAATGGCAGTGGAAAAACCATACCCCTGCACAAATATTCCAATAAAAGGAGGAAAAAACAAAGGAAAAAGGAATGAACAATTTCGTGTGAACTGATTCTCCATAGCTGATTATAAAGTTAACATTTGATTTAGTCCCTTTGGCCATATACTATTACTCAATTTGATCCTCTATTTGGCTCCCGAGTATAAAATTTGAATCCAATGAAGTAATCATACATGTAGTATTTTTTTCTAAACTAAATCTTTGAACCCAATTTAGTTACTAGCTTACGAAAGCACCCTTCTTAATTAGCAAAAACTGTGGACTAGGCTGAGTCTAAATTTGGTTTAGGATCAAATTGAGTTATAGACTTATAGTGCATAGTGGAGGAACTATTTCCTGTACTGTGGATGATTATAAGGATACCTGGATTATCAGCTCTGAAACGAATGGCAGCCCAACCACCTGTGGGAACACCAACAGTGTTTCTCTCTGGAGGATCAAAGAGGTTATAATTTTCGGGGTCCTTGGCAGGATTGAAATTCCCAACTCCAGTTCCGACGACAAAAAAGTTATATCCATGGAGATGGAAAGGGTGTGATTCAACAGTCAGAAGATTAGTGTCTTGTAAAACCAACTCAACAGTGGAGTTGAAGGCAAGCTTACTAACCCTCGTCCCGCGAGCTGTCTTGAGGTTTGCAGTTAAAGGTGCACCAGTGTAGTTAAATGGAATCGGCGGTTTGTCTGGGAAATCTGTGTTGTACACTCCCGTCATGTTGAAGTAATGAGCTTCTAGAAGGGCAGTGTGGGGCATCACAAATGAAATGTTGTTCAGGGAAGCTGTCAACCTAGTACCGTTCAAGCATGTTGGACACGGATTCATCCCCAGACCTATTGTGAAGAACAGATTCCTATCCACTTTCAGCGGAACTTTTGCCGGGAAGTTGGGAGTGTTTAGGCTTCTAAGCTTTCCGTTGAATGCCAAGGCAAAAGCAGTGTCGTTGGAGGCGGGTAGGAGAGGACGCTTTGGGAAGATCGTGTTCGGGACACCTTTGTATTGGAATATGGCAGTGGCGGTTTTGTTGTCTATTGAAATTGGAACATCTATGAAAGGCCGTGCAGCCATGAAATATCTTCCTGGGATTTGATTGGCTCTGACAAGAACATTGGTTGTCTGGCCAGGGGCGATGAGAATAGCATTTGTGGAGAAGGGCTTCGTGTAGACTGCGTCAATCTCTACTACAGTCATGGTGTGGTTTGCTAGTGCGAAAAAGAGGTCGTCATTTAGGGCAGCATTGACTATCCTAAGCAGGTATGTTTTCCCTTGCTCTACCTCCGTAACATATGTATCTGTCCACATACACAACCAAGAAAATGCTTATGCCAGTAATTGTTGGAAACCTGGTTCCCAATTTGGGCGATGAACTGATGATGTCCCTAGGCCCAGTTTGGTATTGGTTTCACTTTAAAGTCACTTTTTTTTTGTTCCACAAGTTTGATGGGCAAAATAAATGTTAGTATCTTAAATGCTACAGATTTAGGATGACTTAAAAGCCATATTTGTGAAATTTTGCTTTCAAATACGAGATACAACTTTTAACAAAACGTACATCATTTGTCCCAAAAAAGGATTCATGTTTGACCAATGTATACCCTTTTTTGGCAAGGCACAACTCTTATAATTCATAAATGATCCCTATATTGTAGAAATGTTTTTGATGGTTTAACTAAATTTATCATACTCCGTATTAAACTGCTTTGTTATTCTATTTTGGCAAATTAATTGAAACAATATTTCATTTCAATTATTTTTGAAAAACAAAAACGATGTATACACACTCACTCTGCCACATGAAAATAGTTATTCTTACATACGTTTTTCAGAACATGGGAAAAGCGGTCCGGGCTTCCCATTGATTGTGTGAGCATCAGATGCATTTGGGGGCAACCCCAATCGGTTCCCTTCATTCACCAGTGTTTCAACGTCTGAGTGCCACCATTCGCCTGTGTAGATAACAGGACGAGTGAATTTGGTTTGAGCACTTGTCAGTCATACGATAATCTTGACAAAGGTCATCACTATCTCTCTAAAAAAATCCAGTTTCTCATTGCAACAATATCTATAGATAATTAGATATGATATGATAAAAGCAATTTAAGAAACTTAAGTCTGACAAAAGCAATTTAAAAACAAGTTTAACCAATGGTTTAGGCAGACTTATTTTCAAATTTTACTTTTTTGGGGAAGGGCTACATACCGAGCACGATAACTTCTTCTCTGTCCGGTTGTGGAAAGGGGAAAGGGGTCCCTTGTTGTGGCATGATCACAATTGCACCATAAACAGTTGCCCTTAGCCAAAGAATATGTGCATGCCACCACAAGGTTCCTCTTTGGCCAGTAATGTTGAAGTCATGGACATAACTATTCCCGGTTGAGATTGGACATTGGGTTACGTAAGCTGGTCCATCTGCCCAACCGTTGCGAAACTGTTTCAGCCCGTGCCTGCAACAGTTCATATAAAACAAAGATTTATTTACTTTGCAAACACAAATGGATGTGCTTTTGGTGTTCATATTCTGTCATCTGATGTCATACCAGTGGATGGACATGTTATATTGTGCGTGGTTAGTGACATTGATAAGAACTCTGTCCCCTTCTCTTGCATAAATGGTAGGCCCTGGGAACCTCCCATTTACTGTCACAATCGGCTTGGGATGGCACAGCCTGCTCACATTACTCACTTGAATCTGCAAATATTTGTAAACAAGACTGATGTAATATCTTTCTTCAGTATTAGGAATAATAATTAAAGCCCTTTTTTAGAATACGTATGGTGGCTTTACGGGCTAAATGGAATGCCGATGCCAAACTGATACTACAAATACTCTTATAACCCCTCGTCTCTTTGTACTCTTCCAGCATTGGCTGGAACACAATATATAAGGGGAAGAGTTCCTTCTTTTTTATTAGATGGACACTCATGCCCTTATCTCTGAGCCGGGGGTCTCTTGGAAACAACTCTAGTTTACATACACACACCCTCCCTAGACCCTACTTTGTGAGATTTTACGGGGCATGGACCCTACTTTGTTCTAGGGTACTAATGCCCTTGTGATGAAAAGTGTACTAATAACGCAAGAAAATGGATATGATTTTTTTCCAGGACGGAGGGTAGAATGGTCTTTTTATGGTTCTGTCATGATCTAGAAGGGCAAATGGAGATTTTATTTCTGGGGGGCAGCCAAATTGGAAAAGCTGGAAAACCCCAGCGGAACACCATGCATGCATGCTATAGGTGATCGACTCACGTTGTACTTGTATGTCTTAGTAGCAGCCTCGGTGGCAGGGAGTCCTACAAGAAGAAGACAGACAAACCCAAAGAACGCAAGCAACATGCCACTTATGCGCGTGCTTGCCATTTGTTTGGAGGTACACAAAAGAACACAAAAGGTATTTTCTTACATCTTCACACGCATATACAAATGAGCGTACGTAATGAGTTAAAAGAACTGATATGAATGTGATGAATTTTGAGGAAATGGCAGTAAGTTTATTATTATATAGACCGGAGGAGGAGGAGGAGGAATGCAAAATGAAGAGGGAAAGGGGTCACTGTTGCCTGCTGGCATACTGTGATTATCAGTTTGGTAAGGCAAGGGGGGGAGATGAAGAGAAGGTGAGGTGCAATGTTAATATATGAGTGACATTGATTTGGTGGACTGAAAGGGAATAGTAGTAGGTAATGTATATATATTTGGCATAACACATAATCCAAATTTTATATGCAAAATAATGTTTGATCGAGACATTTTGAATATATATATTCTCTCGGTCCGGGTTTAGCTGTGTAATTTCTTAAAAAAAAAACCTATTTTTCTTCAAGAAATGAGTTTGAATGTCAAATATGCCCTTCAAATGAGGACGTCAACAGTTTTCATGCCCTATGTCTAGTTCTCTCTGCGTCCCATTTTGAGTTGCATGTTGTTGTTTACCATGTTTGAATAAAAGTATTTCCAAGTTAATTGAATTGAAAATTAGAGTGGAACTTTAAAAAAATAAAATTTAAAATTTAAAAAATACATAAACAATTTGCCAAACTTAAAGGTGACATATTCTACTATATACTTTTATCAAATCACCATGATTTCTTTATTTAGTATAGGGAGTAGTCTAGAAGGTATTTATTGACTTGTGGAAGAGGCTTTGGAAAGCCACAATGCACCCAAAGCGAAGTTAGTCAATGCTTGAAGAAGGTCATATAGTATTGTTGTACAAAAATGGATGGAGTAGCCCATCAGCCAGTAGGATCTTTGCCTTAAAGAAACAGAATATATATAATTAAATATCAATTTTACAAAAAAATTGTCTTTTAAAAATTAAAAATGCTTATATGATCGAGTAACTGTGTTTTTATTATTTAAGAATAACTAATAATTAGAATTTATAAAAAACTTATTGTACCCAATAATAAACAAATTTAAAATCATTTAAAAAATATACTTCGTTTAAATTAAGTATTTGTTTGGGCTGGTCCGAGTAGTTCTTAGATTTTGTCTATAAATTATACCGGCCCAAACTTTTATTTTATTCATACCCAACAGAAATGTACTTCTTCTGTCCCGGTTTAAATTGTTTGTTTCGATATACGATATTTGACTGAAGTTATTTTCAAATTATTTTATATGAGAAACTGTATAGATTTAAAAATAAAATTTTTATATTTAACAACATCAAAAGTTCTACTCCGTACAAAATTAGTGTCGCTATTACTATATTATTTTATCAAATGACTAAAGAAAATAGAAAAAAGAATAATGTGTTGACTATGTGAATAGTAAATATGCAATTTAAATTAAGACGGAGGAGTAATTTTTAAATAATCAAATCCGTCCATTTAGTAAGTTGGGCCTTTTGTCAATGCGGGTTGTCTGGCCCATGTTGCAGCCTAGTCCAAAGATTTCACTGTTAATAGGTCGTAATTAAAGATTCAAAGTTTCATCAGTATTTAAGCTGGGGAACAATGGGTCGAGTCCAACATGGGGAATCCCATTTGACCATTTCAAATCTTTAAAGAGTCTATATAATTCATACTCGGTAATTCATTAGAGTTTTTGTGGGGTACCATTTTTAAGAGTCTCAGTGTAAAAGAAAAACTTTTAAGTCAAGATGAGTTAAAAAAAAAGCATTTAAAAAAATTAATTTAGGAAAATGCTACTTTGACCTCATATATGATATTAGAATGCTTTTTTGTATACCTTGAATGCACACCATTTTTGTAGACTTTCTCACATAAAAAATCATTTTTTTATTTTTTATTAAAAAAACATATACTTATTTAAGTAGTAAGAAAATTCTTATTTTGTTCATATGTAGGTCCGTGGTGGACTTTAATTTAGAATGTTGCCATGATATTAAAGTTGACATTGTTGTGTTTCATATAGTTTTTGCACAGACAGTAATTGTGTGTGGTGTGATGTGTGAATGTGTGATAATCGGTATAATGATGTCAACTTTAATGTAATTTCCTACACTTTTTTTTTTGAAATTCCCAGGGTGTTAGATTAAAATTATTTTTTGAAAAAAAAAATGTTAATGCTTTTTTTAGCTCAAAGCACAAGGAAAATGATGGAATTGAGGATCAGCATGAGAAGAGTTGTGGCGTGAGGGGTGACTTTACATTCACACTCAAAAACCTTTTTTGTATACTCGGGTCGGGTGACTAGAATTCTTGAGAAAAACCTTTTTTAGTAAACCCAAAAGTAAACTTTTTTTCAGAATTCTAGAAATGGTCTTTTTAGTAAAGATTTGTTTCCATGATGTTAAAAAAGGGAGAAAGACCAAAGTAGAACTAAAATATTGAAAATATATTAAAATAGGACTTTCATGTTTTTCTCGAAATAGGACTTACATTATCAAATATGGTCATGTACATTACCAAAAAAATATAGTAATGTGCACATGTACAGTGCCACATTAACACAGTGCAAAGTCCTATTTCGAGAAAATAAACATGAAAGTCCTATAATGCTACTTTTCTCTATGTTTTAGTCTTATTTGAAGCGATTTCTATTAAAAAACAAATCTCTTCCCGATTTATAAAGACGCCAAATGTTTCTGTCCTTTTACGAACATTAGCGTATTTGTAGCACTAAAGAAGTCAGCCTTTTCCAAGCTAGAAAATATTCACATTCGATTCAATTAATATGTGAGAAAGTCAACATTTTTAATGTGGACTTTGAGATTATGTAAACATCACTCTAAAAAGAAAGAACTAAAATTCACGTTTTTTATTAAAATTCTAAAAACTAGTCATTTCTCCAAAACAATTTTTGGAATTTAAAAAATAAAAAATAAAAAGGGGTTAACCTGATTTTTTAAAATTCACATGGGCTGAAACATAGGACAATTAAGATGGAATTGTAGGTTTAACAAAGTAGGGGTAAATTATAAATATGAGTATATGACACTTTCTTACAGCACAAGGGTCAACTTGAGACAAAGCAATGTTGATAAGTAGAGTACATAAAAAAAGTATTGTAAAATGATGGGAAAATGTCACTTTTTAAAAAAAAGTGTAAAAGGAAAAATATGACACTTTTGCATTTTATTTATAAATTTATTGAATAAATTACTCACTTTTTGTTTATTTCAGAAAGAGTCATTGTCTAAAGAGTTTATCTGATCTGATTTCGTTAAGAGTAAATTGATGAGAACTCGCTTATTTATAAAAAAGGATAATTGTGTGTCTTGAGTCTTGACTTCATAGCGGAGTGAATCTATTTGTAGGTGTCTTTTTGTACTCTGCATTTTTTGTGGTTGTTTGGGTCTTAACTTTTTGTATGAAATACTCTTCTCTTCCCAGAAAGAATTACACTCTTCACTATTTAAAAGTTATTGAAACTTTTGTTTATTTGTATTTTTTGATAGATTATCTGATAAAATAATATATTTCTGTCATCTCATGTTCTGTAAAACTTTTGACGTATTTTTTAAAACTTGTATGTTTTATTTTTAATTTCAATATCAATCTTTAAATATAAAAAATTTTTAAAAAATTTAAAATTCACTTCGTTTTATGTAAAGTGTGAATATTTTGAAACAAAAGTATTATTTTAAAAAGGTTGGTATTTGTTAGGTCTCACAAAAAAGATTTATTAGTGTGAAGAAAAGGTTAATTGTATAGAATTACATATTGACACACATATATGCCAATAAACCTGTCATTTCAACTAAGTTTGAGATGTTACTATTATCCAAACTCCAAATCCTATTACTCCACAATGCTGGATAGCTCGTCACTACAGTCTAAAGTGTTTTTAAAAATAAAAAAAAAACCTTATAATTTTTTTACTAAAATTTATTAGATGAACTTTTTTTACGGCAGATGAACAATTTAATTGTACTAAATTGAGATGATTTTTTTTAGCCAACGTAACCAAACCGATTCAAATTTAATAGGATTAAACTGAAAATAAATCGGCAATTCAAGAAATTTCTCATAATATTCTTTTCGTTTTATATCATTTTTTTGGACCTTCTCATATAAATTTTTTTATTTAAAAAAACAAATACTTTTTACATAATAAAATAATTTTTATTTTGTTCATATATAGATCTATGATAGACCTTAGATATACAATAGAATTTGCCTTTTCATTTATATTACCAAACTTTGTACTTTCCATGTAAATATGGGCACCGTTAAATCAACATTGAATTTGATGGGAATTACTAATTGACGTTTTATATATTCAGTGTAACAATTTGACCATTATCACTATAATAGTTTATTATTTATAGATGATAAAGTATTTTAAATTTTAAAAAAATACTCTGTAATTTTTTGTAAATATATTTTGAAATAAATATAATGTTAAGAAGTACGGAGTACTAAATTCATATTATAAGTTCACTAAAAGAATCATATTAGAGCAGTGGTAATACCCATCACGCCCACCGGCGTTACGGGGCGTTTAACGCCCCGGGGGCGTGAAACACCGCCCCCGCCGGCGTGAAACGGGCGTGAGGGCGCCTGCGTCATTTGTTTGACGCGGCGTGAATCGGCGCTCCCCCCTCCTAACGGCTAAAATAGCCGTTGCACCCATTTAAAAAAAAAAAAAATTTTCCTATAAATTCAACCCTCCCCAACAAATCTCTCACACATTCACTCCAATCTCTTCTTCTTTCTCTTTTTTAAATTTCAAAATTCAAATCCCTCATCCCAATTTTCAACATGAATCCTTCCGGCTCCGGCTTCGTTCCCGACAATCTCCCCCCGAGTGACGCCGCGATGTGGTTCTACCAAGAGTGGGGCGATCGAGCGCCGATATTCGAGACGCAACAATCCGGGTACGTCGACCGAGATTCGGTTCCGGAGACTCAACCGGAACCGTCCGGTTCGAAAAAAAGTACACGCCGGAGGAGCCACAAAGCCAAAACCACGTTGACCGAGGCGGCACGGTCAATCCAAAAGTGGACGCCGGAGGAGGAGTGCATATTGGCGTCGGCTTGGGTTGACGTCTCCGAGCATCCTATAATTGGTAAAAAATTTATTTTTTCTAATATATTTATATTTTTATTTATATATATTATATTTAATTGTGTCAAAAAAAA